TCTTGAATGAGGGAAGCGCCAGCCGCCATCTTTCGCAAAGCGGGACCGGCGACGATGTGAAGCTGTCATCTTTACTGAGCACACAGCGGGGCGTTCCCGGGCATAGCTGCCATCTTTGCTGAGGGCAACCGGAATGCCCCTTTAGGTCTGTGGAGCGGGGCCTGAAAGGCCGGAGCGGCCCCGCCTCGCCCCGGGTGGCTTCGGGCCCTGCTCCGAGGAACACCCGTTTGGAAGAGGCTTTTGCTGGGCTGCGCCGGGACCCCGGGCTCCTGCCAGGGCGGGCAGAGCCGCCAGAGCTGATTGTTTCCATCTCCTGCAGGGCGCCAAACCGCCGTCAGACTTGGAGAGCCAAATAATTCCGCTTTAGTTTCAAATTCTAGTCGCTGTTCTTTGTAACTGGGCGGGGTGAAAATCTGGGAAGCCAGCTGCTGTCACAATCTGTCCTGCACTGAAGCGGGCTGGGTTTGAAACAAGCGGCTTTTTGGGTTGTTTTTTTGTTTGTAAAGCAAAGGTGTAAGCGTTGCAGCAGTAAGCATTGCCGCTCTCCCGCTTTTTCAGGGAGAAAATGCAATGAAGTTGAACGTTTCTGAACACGCACAGTTGGAAATGCCAGCCTGACCTAAACACTGCCACCGTTTCCCTTCTGGAGGCCGCTGTCCCCAAGGGCGCGCGCAGGAGGGCCTGGCCTGGGGCGCCGGCTCCCAGCCTCCCCCTGCTCCTCATCCTCTTGGCCCTCTCGATTGCTGGAAGCCTGCGTGAGGCCGGCAGTGCTCCCCTGCAATATTTACAACCTCAGCCGGGGCACCGTGCTAGGACTCGCTCTCAGCATGACCTGCAACACAAGGAAGCTCCGTTCCAGCGAGACACTCGCCTGGCTCTCACCCGCAGGTGTAACCATGCACTTACGCGTTAGATTTGGTTTTCTCTTTAATACAGAGTGTGTCACATTTCACTCACTATCATCCGGGCTGTCTCAAGGGGAGTCTTACCTGGCTGGAAAATAGGACATGGATAACAGCTGACCGTGGGCCATGGTAATTTTTTGATTTTATTATGCCAAATTGTCAAGGTGCCCCATCAGCTCCATCTTCTCCAGGTACCTGCTCCAGCTCTATTCTCTGTTCAAAACAGGTGGAAGCTGTAAAACCCCCCAGACTGGTGGTAGCAGCCATTGCAACCACTGGATGTGCATGGTCATAGTGGGCTTCCCATCCCTACTTGTCTTTCAATTTTATGTGTACAAGTGCACAACAGAGCGGTCATTAGTGCCCCAAACTGCCAAGAAATGCCAGGCACTACTTGGCACAACCGCTTTTTTTTCTCCTACCCAACTGCGCGTGCCTGATGCTTTGCCCTTGGGGTCTGATGACCCTCAGACATGCTCAGTCCCTTCACCTCCCCCATGGCCCTTGGGAGACATTTGTCACCTTACATGACCAGGTCCCCTTCTGCAGTGGCCTCACCTTCTGCCAAGCTGAAGTTAAGTTTGCAAAATCAGGTCTGCCATATGGCACCAGGATCTGATCAGCCAGTCTGAAACGTGGCTTCACAGGTTTACAGAGCAGATCTTCATAAAATGAATGAGTCCACTTACTGAAAGGGCGATACCAATTTGCTCTTGTTTAAGGTTACAGTAAAGTGTTACATATTTGATGCATGCCATTAAATCAGCATCCATCAGCCACAAGTACAGCACAAATCATTCACGTCTTGTGTGCTATGGGCTGGTAAAGCACCATTCTGTCTGCAGAGCCACGGTTCATGTCCCAACATACCATCTTTCAAAAGGAAATCAGCAGGGCCCTCCTGGGTAAGTTTATCACTTCACAAAATGGTTGTCTGATGGACAAAGGCATATAAATATATATATATACACACACATGTATATACTCACAGACATGATGGAAAATTTCTCTGAGTTACTGCACTGCCCATTGTTTTAAAATCTGCAGCAGCACCAACAAGCTGCGAGGGGCAGAAAGGGCTGGGAAATGTATTGTTTAAAAACCTTCTGATAATCTGCTTAGTGTTGTTTAACTGTATCTTAATTAGTGGTACATTTGGGGAGATCATACTAAATCCTTGTACCAGGAAGCCATACTGGAACAGCGCTTTCCTCCTTTACAAGGCAGTCTCAGATCCTTACCATCTCAGAGGCAAAGTACTAAAGGGACCCTAGGAAAGAAACACTGGCAGCAAGCGTAGACGTTTGTGTGAGTTGACCACAAACTCCCAAGCAGCAGGATGAAAGCCAGCTGCCCAGTGCACTGCGGCTGAAGCACAATGGTGGCACAAGGAGGATGGATGTCACCGGCAGATGAGCACAGACAGGTCCTCCTTGCCGTCCTGTTCTCAAGTCCCTACTCCTGAGACTTGGTTCAGCATTCAGTTATGCCTCCTCTTGTTACAGTTCAGAGCAAAACTCCTTCTCAGCTGTGTCACGCACAATCAAACTGTCCTGTGAATGCAAATCAGATCTCAATAAACTCCCTGGAATTTCACCAGTGTGGCCCTTGCTTATATAGCTTTGGCTCAGTTAAACATTTGAATGAACACTTATTTTTTAAGTGCTTCCTTAATTGATGCTGACTTATCTCTCTTCAAATTCTTTGCTTAATAAGGGCCAAGGAGTTAAGAGAAAACAGTCAGCAGGGAAGACTAGCCTTTAGCATCTGTATTTGCTTCTGCGCCAAAAAAATTAACTTCTTAACACCAACAAGTGAGAAAGAAATGCAAGTTTTCCATCGGTCCTTTTGCAAACACTACCAGAACTATTCAAAACTACTGACACCACAGATGTGGATTTCAGAGTAACTGATAAGATAAATTTCCTTTGAAAGAGCTGTGGTGGTCACGAAGAAAAATCTGATACAACATCCTTTTCCAATTTCTAGCTTTGCTCTGTAGGTTTCATGTTTAATGACTGCATACATCTCTGACAAAGTATGTCTTTGTGAATATTACAGACAACAACAGGGAAATAGGCATTGACTGGCTTGCTAGCAAATGTGTTAATGAAAGTAGCTGAAGGCTGGAATGGTTAATAAGCAGGTACAAGAGATCATAGGGCTCATTTTTTAGATTGATTATCTGACAATGTTAACTGTACTTATGAATATCTGATGTTAAAAAACATTTTTGTGCCATTGTTCTCATCTCACATACAGGGGTATAATGAAGCAATAATTCTCTTGGAACAAATGTCATTACTGGGATGAGATCAAATTCAATCCTTCAGGTTTCAGTCCAGCTCCGGTTGCTATCAGTGGAAAAACTCCTGCTGAGCTTTAATGAACAAAAAAATAAATGCAAAAATCCAAGTGGCATAGATACAAATTATATACATTTATTTTTATTCATTTTAAATAACATTCTTCTGTATAAATTCTGACATATATTCAAATCATACACTTTTTTTTTTTTTAGAAATGCATTTGTAAGCATAGCATATGCTTAGGAGACACCTTATTTGGATGTGTAGTAAGACTGATGGGTTTCAGTTGGGAGCAAGTACAACTTTTAAGGCCCACATTTTTCTTATTTTAATCCATCCCTCTGACACAAGAAGAGCAGAGTCCTGTGGGAGCTCATTTTAAAACTTCACTTTAAAGAGGAACTATTTTTAGGATTCAATCTTATATCCTTTATTTAAAGGAGACTGTACAAACTTTCTGCTACGTTTACATTGCATGGGATGTTTGAGCTAAAGCTGCTATATAGCAGTGGTTAACTGGCCCAGGATACCTGAAGGATGCTGAATACATCCCCTCCTCTTTCATAAACGGCTTCCAGCGTGCTCAGTTTGCTCAGCCTTTTCCAAGGGAATTTCCATTCCAACGGGTGACATCTCCTGACAGCTCCCCAGGGCTAGCGCTCCACACAGTTATTTCTAGCTACAGTGGTTCGTACAATCCCATCTATCCACATTAACCCAATCACGTTGTGCATGTCTGTTGCACTCTGTGCTTAACAAATGCTCTCTTAAGTTGCGAGCCATCCCAGCTGCCCCATGCCTTTGACACATCATTGCTTTTTGCCCTTTAACAGCTCCATTATATCCTCTTGCCTTCAGTGACTTGACTGGAACTGAACTCACCCCTTCCAGACCACCTGGATCCACAGGGCCCTCATGACCCTGAGGATCGTGCCTTGAGGGCTGGTTTCCCACCTTCACCCAGCCATCACCTGCCGCCTTGTACCTTCTCTGTACTCTACAGCTACCGTGCCGTGCCATCGACTGCCTTTCTCCACCACAGCCACACCACTGCAGCCAGACAGCCACATGCCCAGTTAGAAGGTGATGCACAGTGCCCCTTGAGGAAAGCTACGTGTATCTGCATTGCCACATCAGCCCTAGAAGTGACCCAGATGCCTTCCTCTTCTGAGTTGGGCCTCAATGCAGCCCTGAAAGTCCATTTCTGGTTTACCTGCCCATACCCCAATGTGGCGTAGGGCAAACGTCAACATCTGGGAAGCTTCACAAGTTATAACACATGGCAGGTCCTGGTGGCCTTTAGTACCCTGGCAGAGGTGTTTTAGCTCTGCACCCCCTCAAAACACAATGCCAGCCCAAGCTGATTGGCAATATAACTGCTCAGCTTCTTCCTCCCCTCCTGTGGTGCTCAAGGCACAGCTGCAGGATCAATGGAGGCAGCAAGGAAGATCTAATCCCACATCACCAAAGTCAAACACAAAGCTGTTTATTCTTGCTTTGCTGAGGCATCAATCTCCTTTTATAAACATTGTTCCTCTATGCCAAAG